TGATCAACCTCGCCAATGGCTGTACAAAAACGGGTGAGACCAGCTTTAGAACTTTCACACTAATTTCATCCGCTCCAGTAGCCTTTGAAGATGACAAGTTATCAAAAAATTTCTGAGTCTCCTGTACTGTTATGAGAGGAATATTGAACTGTGAGACAAAATTATCGACGGTCGAGAAAACAAACTCCTCAAGCTTTTAAGAGTCAAAGGAAACGGGTGAAGTTTGGCTTTGCTTAAGTTCTTGAGCAATAAACGCGAATGAACGCAAATTTTAGCTCACCGTTTCAACGTGCAAAGGTTTCTCGAAGGGCCATTACATTCACGAATCAGCGTGTAACAAGGCCTTGAATCGAGGATCATGGTTTCAACTTGGTTTTATCAACAGATAACTACGTTTTCCAATATAACGAAAGGTAAGAGCGTCAGAGCGATATTTTTATTTCCTAGACGATGCCGCACCAGATTTTCGTTACACTGAACTAATCCGTCATAATTTCCGGGTCAACTGGTGATGTTATTTAAATTTCGGCTTCACTACGCAGTACAACATGAATAGAAAAAAACCATTGAGGTTTATTTTGGTAATTTCGGCCCAGCACCAAAAGCTATAACAATACGTTATTTTATCAAACAATCTGCAAGCATGACACGCCTTAAGTAATATGAGCGGCAGAGCATTGTTTGCACAGCAGTAAGATTTGTATATTCACGTTGGCTAAATATGAAACTTGACAGGCAGATAAAGGGAGTAGAAGCCACCGAGATTACTATGCAAGGTATTTCTTCACAACGATATTTTCCGACAAAAGCGCCCTTCTTAGGTCGCATAGTAAACTCGCTCAGCACTGAAAACGCATTTTCAAATACACATCGCTCATTTCATCTTATAACGGTGGTTTAACAAAACTTGAATAATAATAATAATGCTGCAAATGTACGACAAATGTACGACAAATATACGACAAATGTACGACAAATGTTTCAGGAAAAAAAAAAACAGAGCAAAGCAAAATCAAAGCCCTTCTCGGCTGCTTCAATTGTTGCTATAGCAACCTTTCCGCACATCAAGAAAGCATTTACCTATTTACCAACGACTGGACGGTTGTTTGATTTCATTATTCTGTCATTATCCGATAATAGGGAACGCCGAAAAGTAATTGCGTCCTGTAGCTTCTACTTGAATGGTTTCCCTGTCAAAAGAATTTCATCGGTGACTCAAAAACAGTTACAACAACCTTGTACAGGATAATCGTAAATACTACAGCAAAGTACGGCTCAAAAGCTTCCATTTGAATATCACACTTTCCAATTCCATTCACAGATTCTAAAGTGAGAACCACTTCGTACACACAGGACAAACAATACCAGAGGATCTCACTGCTGGGTTGGATTTCATTTGGATTTCATCCGCAGACTCCACAAAATGGAGCCACTACGTATAGCATTAAAAAGTGGCAAGCACGACAGAAAAGAACGGCTTAGTAGCTGTTCACTTGATTGGATACACAGAATTTCATCCGATTAAAACGTCATATCATGTGCTAATGCAACCTCACATAACAAACAGTATTACACGAGCTGATCACACTTGAGGATTTTATGATGCAAGCCGAACTGGTGGTAAAAGAGTGACACTGACGAGAAACAAAATGTCTCCAAACAGAGCAAATCTCAGTGAATAAAATACACCATCATATAGGTGGAAGATACACAATCTCACTGTCCTTTTTAGAGCGAGATAGCGGAACATAAACGTTGTCTTCGTGACTTATAGGCTCAACGGATGATAAACTTGGTAAAGACAGACGGGTTCGGGTTCGTTTAAACTCCTCTGTCCTCCTTTTACTTGCCAAAGCTTCGCTAAGTCTTCTTCGAAACTGTTTATTTGTAACACCTGAAAAAGTTGAACGAAAATACTTTTCAAGCTCCGGAAACTCCCCAAGAGCTGTTTGTTGTACTTCGACGATACGACGAAATTCCTTCTCAAACTCTCGATGAAGCAAGCCCAAGGTTTTTTCCAGACTTGAATTCAGTGATGAGTTGATAGCTTTGGCATAGCGAATTGCATTAACTACCTTTTTGTGAGGGCTTGTAGACAAAATACACTCTTCTCGCTTCATTCGTTCTTCCATTATTTGGAAAAGATCGTCATGATCCACAGTTATGTCATGATTCTGAAGCGCAAACGAATGCGAACTCGCTTTAATCTCGTCTAGTTTAGAATCATCTTGAACTTGCATGGAGCCAATTGTAGCAAACTGAGGAAACTTGACGCTTTTCATAGAAGACAGCTGAATTAATTTGGCATTCAAAAATGAAGCAGTTTCGAGGTTTGTTACATCAACTAAGCGTTACGTCTCGCCCGGCCTTCGAGACAAAAAAGAATATGGCCATTTCAGTCGAATATTATCTTTCTTCAAGGCTTCGTCAACCTTAGCACTCCCTTTCTTATTCAAGGAAGTAATTAGCACTGCAGATGCGTCAAGAAACAAGAAAATCCGATAGCATATATTTCTCTTTTTTGTTACGCACGGAAGATTTGTTTCGCGACCTTTTCTAATAGAACATTTACATAGGCTGCAATGTGTTCAAATTAAACTCGCTGTTACAAACTGTCAAAGATACGTTTCAATTTTCGTATTTTAATTTACAATCTTATAATTTGGGCCAAATTTCCATCACTTTATTTTCGAAGACACTCACCATAAACCATTTTTTATGACTTGCCGACAATTAATAACCTCGCAACAATAAAATCACCGTCGTTTCAAGTGATGATTATCTCTGTACTTGAAACGAAATTTCTAACACGATAATTTCCATGGAAATCCTCTAATGATTTTTATTCTAATTAACTTTCTGTGTTGATCTTCTGAAGGTGTAATAACGGAGAACTGGAAGAATATTTATTTTAAGCAAAGAAGGAAAGAACTTAAGTCGTAAATGTCAAATTTATGTTATCAAAAAACAAAACACGGCAGACAATTATAGTTGCGCCCAAATTTTAGTCAACCGCCATTTACTATTAGGAAACAATCTATGGATATCTGAAATAATTTAAACATAAAAATGAATTACCTGTTTAAAAATTCAGATCAAACTTACGGTCATGCTGATCTAGGAAGAATTTCTTTGGCGCAGGATGAAAATTGTAAAAATCACAACCATGTCAGCAAGTCTCAAAATAGCAAATGTATTATATTTTGCTGCTTGGTAGAATCAATATAGCTTGACGGTAAGGCGAGCAACGTACGACAAAGCTAAGTGGATCAGGAAGATAGTATGGGGTTTATTTTTGTGTTGCAACTGGTTAATGGTGTAGGTATCGTCTCTGTCTTTCCCATCGTTTAATTCCAATCTCCCTGAGTGCAAAAACCCACGGTTCAACAGAATACCAGACAAATACAGTGGAAGCTCCATTAATCGGCCACCCTCGGGGTACCGGCAAGTGGCCACTTCATAGAGGTTCGTCAGAAATGAGCATAATCTTTAGCACTGAGAAACATTACTTTATTTTGAAACAAACGCGCAACGGGAGAAACATTACTGGTCCACAATTGTTCGTCACCTTCTGTTTGCGACTGTATTTTCCTTCATCGTATTCTTAACATGAAGCCAAACTAAGTGTATTAAGCGCTTGATGGTCGCTTAATAGAGGTGACAACAATGGGAGAACTATCATTGGGACAACCAAAATGGCCGCTTAATAGAGGTTTAAGTTCCCATTCTTTTCTACAATTATTTCGGGACTTTGATTACTGGCCGCTGAATAGAGGGTGGCCGCTTAATGCTGGTTCAACTGTAATTATAGTGTCACGTAAAAATACTGCTGGAAAGGTTTTTCCTGAATGTTCACACCTTAGGATTTCGTCCATAGACTCAAAAGTTAGAACCACATACTGCTGAAGTACTACAGGAAACTACTCTCGGCTTAGAACTTTCACTTGAATGGTTACATCAAGCACAAATTTCAAACATTAGAACATTCTTGTCAGCAAAATGAATAAGGCTGAAAGACTGCCCTTCTTCCTCTTCCCCTTGACTGCTCCGAGATGGTTTTTTTGTTTGCTTTTGTTCCTTTGTTATTTTTATTTCTCTTTGTTGTCGTGGTTGTTTCTTTTTTCGGGTACACCAAATGTCACTTTGACCTGGAACGCACGATCACGTAAAGACGAGTTCATAAGAGTTGCTGGGTGATTTGTGGGGTTGGGGGAGCGAAATTGTATTTAACATCTTTCAGTAAAACCGGTTAAAAGCTAGGAAAAAGGTGCCTTCCTACGATACTCATAGTGTTGGAAAAAGAGTACATACAGGTAAGTTAAAAAACTGTTTTTCCTGCGTAGAAGCTCTAAAATATCGCCATAATGACCAGCATCGTAAAACTAGTAGCAAACAATGATTTTGAGTTTCTCTAAAACGAACAAGCGCATTTCTGGCTGATTCTAGAACATAAATTGTGAACAGCGCTGGCAAGGAGGACGCGAAGTCCTCAACACGGCTGTCGACGGCTTCCGATCCAACCCGAGCGTGAAGCGGGCCGATTCGCTTCCTTCCCAAAAGCCCTTGTGCCCTCGCAACAAGCATTCCCATAAGCCAGTAGGTACCAAGTCTCTGTATAAGCTCTTCGACACCATGGTTACATGTTTCCCAGTTCCCAAACCGAGACTCAGATTTGTTTTCAGTTCCAAAAAATATGGCGGAGCTTAGTGGGATTCCATCAGATTCCATTGCCGAAATGTTCTTTCGGTTTCGCTGCGGGATCTAAGCCATATAGCTTCATCCGCGTTGCGATATCACACAGATAATCTAAACACTCACACCTGAAAACACCAATGATTAAACCCTTAATCAACAACTACTCCATCCATAGCTCAAATGACAGCGAGTCAGAAATAAAAAGTTCCACTTTACTGCACCAATTTGTAATATTTTTTAATTTACTTGCATTAATGTCTTATCAAAGGCATGAACCTTACTGTAAGACGTCGACTTGACGTATTTTCATTTAAATTGCTTCCATTGTTAGACTATTAAAAAAAGGTTATCGTTTCTGCGTTGTTTGTAGCCATGTTTCGAGACACCAACGCAACGTTGTGCGTTGAATGTCAAACGGCGATAAACTCTCAAACAACCGAAACGATCAGCATGTCTTTCAGCGATTATTCTATTCCTAAGGATCAAGATAAATACATACAAATCAAAGAGATATTGATGCTATTGTACTCACATTGTTTTAGCTTTCTGCCACGTGTCCCCCCAAACGTAAACTCCATGGCGACGAACAAGGACCGCACAGGAATCTGGGTATTCTTCCATGGCTTTTGCCATGCTTTCCTTGAAGAAAATTAAAACGAACCTTAACTTAGATTTCAATTACCCTAAACGATGCCGACAGTACTTATGGAGAACACTAAAGAACCATTATCGCCTTGAAGGTTCCCCTCGGCAACTGAACCACCATATGCTAAAAAAGTATACCTTATTAACGCTTTTTTAGCCGGCATCTAATTTCGCGAAAATGAAAGGGACAAAAAAGACAATCGAAATCCAGCGTTTTATCTCACCCTTAAGTCTCGCTCTTCTGGTGTGTTCTCAATGATGGGAATCACAAGTTCTTCATCACACCTGATAAAAAACAGTAACTTGCTTTAATAAAACAACAGCTGCAGATGATGGTGCCGTTTATAAACACTTATCCAGTGGATGGTGATTTATGAGAAGTGAATAGCATTACTACACTATTAAAAGTGATTTTTCCTTTTCCTAGTTCTATCTCATACCAGAGACTCGAAAAGCTCTGCTAGCAGGACAAATATAACTTTTGGTGAAGACAATTTAGACATTAAAGAAGAATTCGAGCCCACATCTTCTCTAAATTGAGTTTCTTATGGATAGAAAACATGAGTATATACAGTACGTTATGAAGACAGGGTTAAAACGAGCAACTTTTGGATACACAGGACAACCAACCTGTAATTGATTCCTGTGGTGCCTTTCTTCATTCCCTTGATCATCTCTTGGTGAGTGATTCGGAATTCCTTCCCGGGATACAGAAGAGTCACCATGACACAGTGTTTTGAATGCGTGTGAATAACGGCCCCTGCACCTTTAGCAGAAAACATGAGTTGTCAGGGATATTCGTGGAAATCTGTCGTCCCTTTCAAATTTAGCTATCTAAGAGGGGGCTCTACATAATTTGATGTCCGTTCAAAATAATGACTAAGTTAAACATCTGCCCTTTTCAAGAAAAAGTAATAAATATTTGCAACTCTACCATGAAATACAAAATACATTANTTTTTTACTAGACGCGATTTTCTTTGAACAGTAGGGTCCTTTTAAGCGCTAATTTCTCAAGAAATATTTACCATCAATGAAATCGGAACATTTCGTATTATTGCCGAATGATATCTGTTTCTGTTTGCAAAGTTTCGCAGCCATCGCGTTAAAAACGAAAAAGTCATGACGGAAAATTTGTCACAGCAAAATGCTCTAGTATTAATTACGGAGCCACCTTAAAAGCCAGGAAAAAGGTGCCTTCCTACGGTACTCATAGTGTTGGAAAAAGAATACATACAGGTAAGTTAAAAACTGTTTTTCCTGCGTAGAAGCTCGAAAATATCGCCATAATGACCAGCATCGTGAAACTAGTAGCAAACAATGATTTTGAGTTTCTCTTAAACGAACACGCGCATTTCTGGCTGATTCTAGAACATAAATTGTGAACAGCGCTGGCAAGGAGGACGCGAGGTCCTCAACACGGCTGTCGACGGCTTCCGATCCAACCCGAGCGGATGAAATCACCCAGAGAAAATCCATGTGAAGCGGGCCGATTCGCTTCCTTCCCAAAAGCCCTTGTGCCCACGCAACAAGCATTCCCATAAGCCAATAGGTACCAAGTCTCTGTATAAGCCCTTCGCCACCATGGTTACATGTTTCCCAGTTCCCAAACCGAGACTCAGAATTGTTTTCAGTTCCAAAAAATATGGCGGAGCTTAGTGGGATTCGATCAGATTCCATTGCCGAAATGTTCTTTCGGTTTCGCTGTGGGATCTAAACCATATAGCTTCATCCGTGTTGCGATATCACACAGATAATCTAAACACTCACACCTGAAAACACCAATGATTAAACCCTTAATCAACAACTACTCCATCCATAGCTCAAATGACAGCGAGTCAGAAATAAAAAGTTCCAGTTTACTGCACCAATTTGTAATATTTTTTAATTTACTTGCATTAATGTCTTATCAAAGGCATGAACCTTACTGTAAGACGTCGACTTGACGTATTTTCATTTAAATTGTTTCCATTGTCAGACTATTAAAAAAAGGTTATCGTTTCTGCGTTGTTTGTTGCCACGTTTCGAGACACCAACGCAACGTTGGGCGTTGAATGTCAAACGGCGATAAACTCTCAAACAACCTAAACGATCAGCATGTCTTTCAGCGATTATTCTATTCCTAAGGATCAAGATAAATATATACAAATCAAAGAGATATTGATGCTATTGTACTCACATTGTTTTAGCTTTCTGCCACGTCTCCCCCCAAACGTAAACTCCATGGCGACGAACAAGGACCGCACAGGAATCTGGGTATTCTTCCATGGCTTTTGCCATGCTTTCCTTGAAGAAAATTAAAACGAACCTTAACTTGGATTTCAATTACTTGAAACGATGCCGACAGTACTTATGGAGAACACTAAAGAACGATTTTCGCCTTGAAGGTTCCCCTTGGCAGCTGAACCACCATATGCTAAAAAAGTATAACTTATTAACGCTTTTTTAGCCGGCATCTAATTTCGCGGAAATGAAAGGGCAAAATAGACAATCAATATCCAGCGCCTTATCTCACCTTTAAGTCTCGCTCTTCTGGTGTGTTCTCAATGATGGGAATCACAAGTTCTTCATCATACCTGACAAAAAACAGTAACTTGCTTTAATAAAACAACAGATGCAGATGATGGAGCCGTTTATAAACACTTATCCAGTGGATGGTGATTTATGAGAAGTGAATGGCATTACTACACTATTAAAAGTGATTTTTCCTTTTCCTAGTTCTATCTCATACCAGAGACTCGAACAACTTCGCACAGAGAAGAAAGCTCTGCTAGCAGGACAAATATAACTTTTGGTGAAGACAATTTAGACATTAAAGAATAATTCGAGCCCACATCATCTCTAAATTGAGTTTCTTATGGATAGAAAACATGAGTATATACAGTACGTTATGAAGACAGGGTTAAAACGAGCAACTTTTGGATACACAGGACAACCAACCTGTACTTGATTCCTGTGGTGCCTTTCTTCATTCCCTTGATCATCTCTTGGTGAGTGATTCGGAATTCCTTCCCGGGATACAGAAGAGTCACCATGACACAGTGTTTTGAATGCGTGTGAATAACGGCCCCTGCACCTTTAGCAGAAAACATGAGTTGTCAGGGATATTCGTGGAAATCTGTCGTCCCTTTCAAATTTAGCTATCTTAGAGGGGGCTCTACATAATTTGATGTCCGTTCAAAATAATGACTAAGTTAAACATCTGCCCTTTTCAAGAAAAAGTAGTAAATATTTGCAACTCTACCATGAAATACAAAATACATTATTACAATAAAAGTAATTTGTTGTGTGATTACCTCTCATTGTGTACGCATTCATGAACAATGGTGTACACTGACTTTTCTTGAGCTTTTTTCTATAAGTGAAAAAAGTGTCACGTCAACAATATAATATACCAGAAATCATGAAATGTAATGTATCATGAAATTCAGCAAAATTCAAACCTGGAAGCTGCCATCAAATTGAGTGAAACAAAAATAACAGATCAAAACATCATTGAAAGAATTAGGTATAAATAAAATAGCAAATACAAAAGAAGGCATGGATGGACGAACTTGAACAAGAATTAAAATAGATTTTAAAAAGTCGTTTATAAAAACGTGTTAGCATAACAGTGTTTTGAAGTTTATTTTTGTTGTCTGTGGTATTTGATTTAATGCTTGGGGGACATGTATGATCAGTTTGACAGGAAGCTGCAATTTTGTAATTAATTTGCCAGTAATTTCATCACTAACATCAGGGGCCGCGTAGCCAGGATTTTTCCAGAGGTACGCACACCTGTCCCAATCCCTTCCCTCCCTCCTCCCAACCCCTTAAAGTCCCACATCCGTTTCTGGTTCCTTGATTAAAGGTGAGGTTTCGTTCTAAGCTTCAAGCGCTTTTTACTGTATATGAAATGATGAAATGACGCAAACTGTAATATTCTTGCGCCTCTTTTTTTGGATCATTGACTGAAGAACCTCAATCACTCTTCATTGTTTAAGCTTAATTACAAGCTGGTATCTCAGACTTCTAGTTACTTTTATTTACTTTTGTTTACCATGTTGTATATGAACGCCTGTATTTGATGTTTGCAGAATTTTGACAGGCTGAAGTGAAAACAACGATTTCACGCTTTATACCATGCAAGCTTACTATCTGCATGTTGTTTACGATTGAGAGTAAATGAATGGAGGCAATCTGTGTTTTCTTCATAAAGGATGTTTTACATAATTGTTTTTCTATATTAGTATCGATTTTTTTTATTTTTATTCTGTGATTTTTGTACCTTCGGGTTTTTCAAGTACGCACGTGCTTACTGTGGGTACAGGTAGCTACGCCCCTGTAACGTTTTAAGTTCCATTCTTAATAAGAATGTGTAATTGGCAATACTAGCAAAATGAACTAGACAGCTGTAACAAAGCCGCTTTAAAGAAAAAAAAGAGAATTCTTGCTTACGCTGGAGGAGGTGAGCAAAGCTCATTTTCTTCCATATCACACACAAACATGTCTTCGGGCTGAAAGAAAATTTTTTTTTTCTGAGCAATCTTTTCACACACCATATTAATCCGTAAACTTTAAAGAGACACTGGCATCATTCTGTAGTCTGTAGTACATATGGCATACAGAGGAAGTTCCCAAAGTAAACACCTCAGTGAGAGAATCTAGTACTGAAATTACTCTGTATCCTGCCAAGTGGCCACTAGCAACAGGACTTTCACCAGGTGGCTGCAAGTAATGTGATAATGTCCATTGACACATTCACAACTCAACTAGTCTAGGCAGCCACTCTTTGTGTTGTTTGTTAGGAGAGAGGCTTTGTGGGCCAAAACAACAATCTACTCTGTAAGAAGACAGGGCGCAACTTCATGCCGCCTGCGCCACATAAGTAGCATTTCCAGCTCCCACGCCATTTTTTTCCTTGCTTCCTCTTTTCAGGCATAGCCCTTTTTGATTGCAAATTACATGTATTTAGTATTGTCACATTATTCCCCCCCTCCTATTTTGCCCAGTCCCAGCCCTTTCAGAAATCCCACCTCCCGCTCTTCCCTCTCCCACTTCCCGTACCCTTCCTGTCCCCTATGTATTCTGATGGCCTCAGTTGTTTAAATGTTGGATAGCATTATCCATCTGACAAATCAATTTTCAGCATATACTTTGTAAGTATTATGATATGATTACCAGTTGCATTATCCACTTAGAAATTAAGCCACTGGATAGTGTTATCCACCTTTCAAACAACTGGGGCTTGAGCTTCTGCCACCCTGTCCTCCCCAACTATCCTGAGCACCAGAGACTTTTCATGCACTGTTTCTGCTGTTGGTCAAGTCTTTACCTAAGGTACAAAGAATCCAGCTGCATACTGTAGGAGATTACCCACAACCCCCTGTTTGAACATAACAGTAAAAGTACAGTAACATAACAAAATCTCTTTGTTTGCATTTTTATGAACATTGTACTACCCTCATGATCTGAATTATCCATTCCCATCACAGTAATATCTATTGCTTTACCTTAATTCTCTCCTTTTGAACACCAGAAGGCGCAACGAATATCTCACTTCTGTGAGGAAAGAGCACAGAATACTTGACTGAATAACCCATTATTAACTACTAAATCTATTTAAAGGGGTTTTAATGTCACACAAATTATTGCTATGTTTCTGAAAGCGTAAACAAGTCATGTCCTAAATTAATTGAATTCCAACAATAATGGTCCAGTTTTGTTTTTGAAGACCATAATATTTAGGCACCAAAACGTTTCTCTGCCATCTGTTGCAAAGGATAGCAAGCCAAGGATGGACATGGATTAAAACTTGAACAGCTGGGTCAACTTATGCTGACCCAAAAAATTAAGCCCCAATATCTGCTACAGGTCAAAATTATATTCAGGTATGTTTTTCAACCACGGTTGATTCTCAATTTCCTTTGTCTCCTAGCCCTAATTATTCATGAATTAGGGCTAGGAGACAAAGGAAATTTAGAATCAACCTAGGTTAAAAAATTCCAACCTGAATGTAATTTTATTGTATTTTTTGACCTGTGACATAATCCACATAGTGTTACCTGGGGTTTCAATAAAAATTAAAGAAGCCAGCAATTTGGGTAGAGTAACCAACTGTATCAACAAGGGGTCATTGGTCCCCTTTTCTAGGGAGGGGGGGGGGGGGGGCAAAGGCCATTCCCCCCCAAAAAATTTTAAATTTAAAAAAAAAAATAGGATTTTCAGTGTTCGGGGGACTAAATTTTAAAAAAAAAACAGGTTTTTTTCATTCAAAAAAATTAACTTTTAATTTTACCACCCCCACATCAAATTGCAACATGAAATAAACAAAAAACAAAAACAAAATTTTTTTTTTTTTTTCACAGAAGAGGGGCGTTGGGTGGTTGTGTGGTGTTGGTGTTGTTTCTTTGTCTTTTTTTTTCTTTTTTTTTTTACTTGTTAATATTTTTTTTTTTTTTGGGGGTTATAAAAAAAAAAAAAAAAAAAGAGGAATTTGGGGGGAAAAAAAACATCTGAAAGCGACGGGGGTTCTGTGTTCTGGGGTGGGGGGGGGGGGGGGGGGGGGGTCAAAGTGCATTCCGCCCCAGAAAATTTTGAATTTCAAAAAAAAAATGTGATTTTCAGTGTTCTGGGGACTAAATTTGAGAACAAAAGAACGTGTTTTTCATTCAAGAAAATGTAGCTTTCAATTTACCAGTCACACAATCAATTCGTACGAGCAATGAACAAATGATGAAAACTAAATTACATACTTTTGCACCTAAACAAATTCTGCGTAAACCTCTAAGAAACTTTTGAAAAAAATGACTGCAATATAGCGTTCACATGACTAAAGCATAGTGTAAAACCAGTGGGCCTTTCGGAAAACAAATCATAATTACGTTTTCATTCAGATTTTATGATATATTTTTTGTTTAAACCATTACTCATACTAGTTGCTTTTTCTTTCCTTAAAAAAAGTAGCAGACCTCTATGAGCAAAGAAGCCGACATGTTTTGTCGGCCGTCGGTGCTTATTGAAACCCCTGTATTACACATTCTCCAGAATTAGTTGAGAGAACCCTAAAGCACATTCCCTTTGGTGATCATGCTATTAATTCTCATGACCGGTTCTCTTGATTATGTATTGATTTTGTTAGCAGCAACTTGATGTTGGCCACCCTTGGGATGTAAAGGATTAAAGGTGCTGTATCACTCAATCCAGTTTCAGGTATGGCCAAAATCAGCCATTAGGAACTGGTTACCAAATTGCGAGAAACATCAAAATCACCATTTTAAACAGTAAAGGAACTTTTACATGGATATATATTAATTTGCAAAGCAAAGAGAAAGGAAGAGGGTAAATGACCAAAAAAAAAAGTTAAAATAGATTGCAAAAGGGTTTTTGTATAGCCTAAACTCTTTTGGGGGCACAAAAGAACCAAAAGCAAATGCAACTTGTTTTACATAACCTGGACTTGAGTACTTACAGAAGGACCCATTTATTTTTTTATTTTATCTTAATTATTATTTTGCATTCACCCCTCAAAACTCCAGGACCAATCTGGTATCAGATTGGTCCTGACGTGTGACCAAAAACATAACCAAGTCCTTGATTGGGAAAGATAGGCCTGTCTTGCCTGCTCAGGTAGGTAATTGGAAACAAGGATTCCCTTCACCTTGCTAGCTTGCAGAACCGACCTATAATAATACCCATACTTAATGCAACAGTACATAAAGTGCATTAAGCCTGGTTTTCATATGTCGGGAAAATCCCAGACGATCAGGGATTTTGCTTTTTGCTGACTGTCCCAGATTTTGCCGATATAAAGGATAATTGCCACAAGTCTGTCGCAGAGACGCCATGTTTATGTGTGATAGGGGACTTGAACCCAGCAATTTAGGGGATTGGTAATGAGCGAAATCCATTGCCGATGTCCTCGACGGTACAAATTTGAGTTTTCATTTGTTGGGAAAGATCGCCGACCATAGCAGAAATCTAGGACAAGTCGGGAAAATAGAAACGCTCCTGATTATCCAGATTTGTCCCCATCCATTCCTGATGATCGGGGATATCTACAATTTCGAGTTTTCATTAGTCAGCAAAATCTGGGACAGTCGAGAAACAGTAAAATCCCTGATCATCTGGGATTTTCCCGACATATGAAAACCAGGCTTTACCATAAAACCATAAAACTTACTAACCCATATTTAATGCTTATCCCTCCTCCTGTCCCTGTGACCCAATCTAGATGGTAAAACTGCCGACACAGCTCAGGAATGAGATTTCTTGGATGTTCAGGATCCTGTGGCACAACAATCAAAAGTAACTGCTCACTATGAAGCATATTTGCTGAATACCTATTAACTCAAAATCTATTTAAACCGTAAAATGGCTGAATATTGTTGCGAATGGCAGCAGCTCAATAGTTCTTTATCACTGTTCCTTCACACTAAACTTTTAAGCAAAATCTGCGAAAATAATAATTAAGTTTTGTCGACCAACAAGGCCGCTTTTGCCACGTGTGGCAAACTTTAAATATAATAGAAGCTTAAACAAAAACCGCCCATACGTGCAAACGTGGAAAAATGTCTTATTTTAAATATTTCTACTTTCCTTCTCTCATGTATGCAAGTATTTGGGTAATAAAAAATTCTTTCCTTGTCAAAGGAAAGAGTAAATTGATAGAATTCAGGCACTTCATTCACGTTCGTTGATCCTCGCATGGTTGATGACACGTGAAAAAGATTGCTACTACCACATCTTCGTCTATAGTTCGTACCAAAACCAAACTCTGTTGATCAGTGCAAATTTAAAGTAACTAAACAGATAAACATCAGCTTGCCTTGGAATATTCAGCTTGCAATGCGCTTCGGTTCGCGTTCGATAATTCCGCCATAGTGATCTCTTGCCAGCCTGCCTCCTTCCGTTTCGTCCGCGCCCAATAACGAGGCCTAGGGACTAGGGATTGGGTAATGTGATGTTTTGAACTGTTTTACGTTAATTAGTGGAATTAGAAATTTAAAAATTTGATAGACCAGAAGCTTTTGCAATACTGTAATAACTTTATGGTCATGCAAATACAGTGTAAAGCTTTTGTTGATGTTGTTGGGTACGAGAGTGAGTCCAGCCCTGGGGTTCCCGTGGATAACGGTTGGGTGAAGTTTTGACGTTACTGGTGTTTGAACTCCCAGAATTAAAACGTTAAATTCAATTTATTAATTATTTTTGTCTACATTTCGCTGATTGGATGTTCTAAAACAAAAAAGAGAAAATTATCCGAGGAAAAGCTTTTGAACAAGAATCAAGGATTAAAATCTAATCGGCCTTCGAACAAGTAGGCCCTGACTACTAAAAAGCAGTAATTGCTAAAAGCGGTAATACAATTTTTTGCCTCAGATTTTCTCAGTTCTGTTAACACAGTCTTTAATTATAAGAAGTAGAACCCCTCTCTGTATTTTCCACTTTTCTTGTTAGCCGTGTCAACTGTCAATCCATGGTGGCCGGTGGCCACGATGATTTGCCTGTTAGATTTTTGGCGCAGTTGTCGATAGTGTCTATACCCCTGTGGGTAGAAGGGGGCTCTCCATTGACTGCCTCCTCCACAGGCTTCCCAAGGCTCAGTGAAGAGCACTGCAGGGAGAGAAGAAAGCGAGAAACAAAACAGCGGGAGCGCCAGAGGGGGATGATGCGAACGAGCGTAGAGGTCGAGAGGGGAGTGAGAGTTTAGATCCGAGTTTACCGCGAACCTCTAACCGCTGGAGGTCACGTGACAAGTCTTTCGCGTCACGTTTGAGGTTTACGACGTGCGTTTTCAACGTGGGGAGATAGGTTTTCACGTATGTTATTTACCTGAAAGATTTTAGCGTATAAATCTTGTTTTACCCCACGTAATGATACAAAAATCTTGTGGAGCAAGTCTTTATCCATTAACAAAGGCACAAATGCGTTCGAAATGCTAAATTTGATAAATCCTATTGGATCTTGAAAACAAGTGCCATTCATGGCTGTTGATTCAAAATGGTGGCCGTAAAATTGCAAGAACAACTAATGTAAGAATTTAAAGCTCTTTGCTGCTAGATAACCCAGTGTTACCGGAAATTTCTTTTATTTTCACTGATTGATTTTTCTTCTATTTCTAAATGGAAAAATAAACTAGAATCCACTTCTTTAATCCACCGCCAATCTAAATCGAATTATGTTTGAAAGTCGACCCGCAAACGGGTAACGGCAAACCGCGGTTAGAGGCTTGCGGTAAACACGGATCTAAAACTCTCTACTATCACTTCCTTCGTCCCCCAAAAAGTGATCGCGTGCGACTGGGGACGAGGCAGCTCCCTTGATTCAACGGAGATGTTCAGCATAACAGGAAACAGACAAATAGGGGTTTTCAGGGTCATTCATAAAATTCCACAATTTAGCATCTTAGAGAGGGGATCTGTCACCAAATTTTCATAACGCGTTTCAGGGACGTACCTAAAAATACTAGCCTCCGTGGTCCTCGGTATTTCTCCTTTTGGCTCGAGCCAAAGGTAAGACGAGGCACCTGCCTTGTCTAGATCAGTAAAGGCAAAACTCAACTGACAAGGAGTATTAGTTAAATAGAGTATTTGCACTGAGAGGCCATGTGACATGGTTTCTATGAAAATGATTATTTGGTCACATTTTAAACAAGCTAATAGTGATTTGGTTGTTCAAAACCGCACTATTTTCTTAAAAGTCAAATGAACCAACATTTCGACCTTTTTTATTTTAGTTCAATTCTAGTGAAATGTGTTTAACATGAACCAAATAACATACCATGAAGTTTCAGCTCAATTTAAGCAAGTATCTCCGAGATATATTTGCAATTAAAAATTGCTATTTTTTGGCCCTTATCTTCGTAGAGCGGTCGGAAAAATTGTCGGAAAAAACAGCTTGTCACGTCAATGTTGGTCAGGTGAAAAAAAGCGGGAAATTCAAAACAGAGTTTTTCGAGTCGACTTGGAGCAGAAGTGGTTTGTGCGGCCATATATCTGGAAAGAACTGGCAATTTGTGTCCAAAAGTTGCAAGCTGTGGTTATAACCTTCTTATTATTTAATTTTCTCGAAGACCGACATCAAAGCAAAACGGACTTTAACGACATTTACTAATTTCCTTAAGTTGTACTGGAAATGTGCATGCGTAAGTCCGATTTTTTTCAAGATGCATTCACAAAAATGTGTTCATATAAGGAAGTTCCTGGATATATAAGGTCCGGAGCTCCACCGTGGACACAAAAACAAAATATCGTGGTATAATAATCTGCCCAAAGAAATTCAAGTTTGCCCACAATGTGTTTGAAGTCACTGAACTTTGTCGCACTCGAGCTGATATTTTAAAACCAACGCTCGATCGGACACTTCTAGCTTCGCAGATCACTAAAATATAAACAAAATCCTCAAAGTAGAAGTTTTGGCGTTGATATGTGCTCTGAAAAAGAGTTAATCATTATCTAGTAAATCTTCCCCAAGATCGGTTTCAAAGCAACCATAGTTTTTTAAACGTGATCGTTTCGCGCAGATTAATTTTGCTTTGTGATGTCAAGTTCTCAAACTCATTAATAATTCATTAAGAAAATACAAAGGAAATTAATGTTTAATGAGTGTTTGGAAATCGGATGAAACACTGCTTAGTATTTGCATCCTTAATTTCTCCTTCAAAAATGATTTTGTTTGAGAAGAAATATCAAACATTCGACACAGTGTTTCATCACCAGATGAAACACCTCGAAGTTCGTCAAAAATACTCCGCTGCGCGNTCCAGTTATGTATAAGATTTTAAATTAATTATACCGATTGAGGTCACTTTAAGGAACCTTAGACGCCACTTTAAGCTGGCAAATAGATGCGACAAGCAAATAACAATTCCATCATGCATAAAATTCAGCTTAAAAGCAAAAGATCAGTTGCAAGCTTCGCAGCCAAGCCATGATTCCGACTACTCAGCTGACTACTTAGCTAGATTAGCTACTTTTAATAACTGGTCCATGCGAGGGTCTTCATTTAAGCAAATTAAACTCAATAAAAAGAATCATTAGAAAATACAGAAAACTGCACATAAGGATTTGTTTTGCTCGCTTCAGTCAAATCCAGCTCCAGCAATTGTTTACGACGGGCAAAGAGTCGATTGTTTTGGAGTCACTGCCGGCAGTTGTCGTTCTCTTCTACTTCACAGCGAGTGAAAGGAAAATTTGCGTACAGAAAGATATAAACAAAACTATGTAATTAAAACTGAAAAAACTAAAGGAAAAAAACTCTGACTATTATTACTTGAGCAACAGAAAAATGATCGAAGTAGTCTTTTCTTCTGGAGGAAGCTTGCTGGCCTTCTAAAGTTCCATGAAAGTTTTTAAAACTTAAAAGCTTAAAAGCGCACAAGGTTGTTCACTCGCATGCGTTAGCATTACAGTTCTTTGACTGAAAACAAGGATAAAGTTGGTTCTGCAAAGGTAAATAAATCTGGGCATGTAAAAAAAGTAGCCATAGCTACTAATAACAGAATCTAAGCAGGTTTTAATTCAACCCAGCGAAAGAAGGCGAAGCACTGGACACAAAATCAACCCACAAATCGAATGCACAATTATCAGAAAAATAAAAACCTGTTTGGAAATGTTCAAAACGTTTTATTCCACCTCAGACTGACGGAATGATCTGTTTTTACTATAACATTGGTTGTTCTGAATCCAAAGTAATTTTCAAGTGACGAAAAAACAACACCAACAAAAACAAAAATATGCCTTTACAACGAGCAAACGTTCGGACCTCGTGTATTTCATTCAGTCTCAGTCAGAACTTTCACAGAACGAGACAAACAAACGCAGGCGATAAGGGATGCGCAGAAGCTTTCGCAGAGCGTTTTTCCGCCCTGAAAGACCAACATTGACATCACGTAGACGCCAGTTTCTCACGCGACCATTTCAGAAACGTTTTCGTGAAGTCTTCGGAAATGCTCGGATTTTGATCTTTTATCTTTCTATAAAGGCTTGGAAAGAAAAATCTTTACCCAAATCGCCGTTAGGATGGTTCTTTTTAGTGTTTGGTGAAGATACAAGATAAAAACGAGATACGAGATAAAAGTAAAAACTAGTTTGGAGGGCAAAAGTATGCCGTCCAACATAGCGACCAACACAAATGATACAACTTTGTTGAAAAAATCAAAGTGCCATAAAATATCTCCCTTAAAAGCGTTTTCTCTCAAATTTGAGGTGTAAGATAATTTTTACGTGCTCTGTCAGCAAGATTCCAACTCATTGTTTAAAGAAAGCATTGGTCAAGTGACCTCTTAATGCAAGTGACCAATTGATAACCACT